CATGATCTGCGGGTCACATAGGGGAGGGGGGGCTCTGGCCCGAACTTCTTTACAGTTCACTCACGAACGAGACCAACGCTGGATAGTTCCTCCGTATTGAAGCCAAAGGAAGCCAAAAGTGACGACAGTTACAGGATCCCGATGACCCGTTCGGATTAGTAGCATGATCTGCGGCTCCATAGGGAGTGGGTTCCCGCCTCAGACTTCCCTGCAATTCACTCAATAATAGTTATGAGTGAGTGATTGAGCCACTCTGGGTAAGTGAGTAAGTGAGTAAGTTAAGAGTGAACGAGAGTGATCGGCGGAGTGACAGTGTCTAAGTGATGATGTTGTGGCGGTGGTGATGATGAGGAGGATGATGATGCTGATGATGATGACGATGATGATGCTGATAATGATGATGATATGATGATGATGATGATGATGATGATGATGATGATGATGATGATGATGATGATGTGATGATGATGATGATGATGATGATGATGATGATGATGATGATGATGATGATGATGATGATGATGATGATGATGATGATGATGATGATGATGATGATGATGATGATGATGTGTGAGTGTGCGGGTGAGTGGTGGGGAAGAGAAGGAGGAGAGAGATCCTGCGCGGGGAGCGCGCATAGAAAACAATAACCCCACGTAGGACGTGGGGAAAATTCAAAAACTCCCACCAAGACGCCCCCGAGACGCAATCCACGAGACCCCATCAGCCGTCCGACGGCGTCAGACCCGCAACCCGGGCACGGTGGCGGGATGTGCCGAAAGCCATTCGACAATCATGCTTCGGGTGTTTTGACAGATGCCCGCCGTCTGTACACGTGGGTTCTCGCCCGTTTCCAAATGCGCGCACGGCGAATACTGAACATGTCGGCCCCAGAAGCCCCGAAAAGGCCCCGAAGAGGCCCCTAGGAGGACCCCATGAAGCCCCAAAAGAGCTCCGATAAGCCCCCGAAAGGCGTACAAGACGCCCTCAGGAGCAACGCGCAACAACCGCCAGTTCCCCATGGGGCCGGCGGCGTGGCGCAAGCCTAAGAATCGAACACCATCGCAGGGGAGAGGGGGAGTCCAACGTGCATTCTTTCGGAAAACATATGCACGGATACGAATCAGCCTCCCTGCCGTCTCACTGGCACACTTCGGCACAATGTCCTGGGCGACCCGCTCGAGAGTCGACGCCATGAGACGATGCTTGAAAAGGAGACTGGGGAACCGACGGGCATCTTCGATAGGCGGCCTGCGAGTTCCTCCTGGAGTACCTGTCGAAGAATCCGAACTGACGTCAACCGCGGCGCTTGCCAAAAACAGAAAGACAGAACGGCACTCTGGACGCGGTCAACTGCTGGGCGTGCTCAATTGCACCCATCCGAGCCTGAACTGCGTGTTGCTGTACATCCAAGTCATCGAGCCTGAAGCTTAATTACTTGAAGGACTGACCTTGGGAGGCGATCGTGACATTGGTGCCCGAGATCTCATTATCGACCCTGTGTCGTGTCGCCTGGAGATGATCAGCGAACATCTCCTTCAGGGTCGCGGGATCGACGGACATGGCTGCAGACGATCTGAACAGAAAGAGAATGGGGCAACAACTCGCACACTGGATGAAATAAAAGGGATCAACAGCAACCTCTTGGCAACGACTCTCGAGCCAGGCCTTTTGCTACGACCAAATTCGAAACAACAGGCCTCAGGTTTCGAACTTGAGCCAAAATAGCTACGAATGAAGGTGGTGATCATGATGATGATAATGATGATGATGGTGATGATGCTGATAATGATGATGGTGATGATGACGATGTTGAGGATAACAATGTGGATGATTAGGATGAGGGGGAGGCGGCGACGAGGAGGACGCGGGGCACTGCTGACTCAGAACGAAGACCCAACACCACAGGGAGGTTAGGAACGATTCCACGACTCACGCGCAAGAAGCCCCTACGATACTTCCTTTCCGACCTACTGCGGACGCACAGATCTACACTTCCGACCCCCCTAATCAAGCGTGTTCCAAGAATGACGGATTGCCGTCTGCATCCGACTGCCAGACGAAAGTAAGGCCAGAGTTTCGCCTGCCAAGGTGCCCAACAAAGTCTCGCGCGGCGACCTCGACGCCCCCTTCGTTCGCATCCAAGGGGCACCGGAACAAACCCCCTCCAAAAAATAGGTAAGACATGAAACAACGACTTCAGGCTTCCATTTTGGTGGACGGAACAATGAAAGAGCACAAGGGAACGACAGGCAGCACGAGCAGCCACTTTGATGACGGCACAGTTGTTGCCGTCGTCATCGTCGGCCTCTTCCGATAACAACTACGACGGGAGGAGGGAGGAGGGAGGAGGGAGGAGGGAGGAGGGAGGAGGGAGGAGGGAGGAGGGAGCAGTGCTTGTGCATGCTATCTCCCCTCTCAAAGCGGAAGCGCCCCTGCTCTGCAGCGCGAGGCCTCCGCCTCTGCGCGGCTCGATGCCGAAGCGGACACCGACACGAGCGCCTCCCCGGGAGGCGCGAAGGCAACGGGTCCGCGGGGCGGGAGGGATGGCTTGAAGGCACGCCAGTGGAAGAGCGCACAGGCCAGCGTTTGATGGAGACGTTTGTGCATTTTTTCACGCAACGGTCGTTACCCAGGACGGGTGAGGGGGCGGGTGACGGTGACGCTTGGGCGAGGAGAGGCACGTCGGGGCGGGGGTGCGCTGCGATCGCCATAAAATACACGCGATTACCACTATGCCATCGTTGGGTCCAGGTGCGTCCCCCGGGTACGATCGCTACCGCTACCCAGGGGGAAACGGAGGGGGAAGGGGGGGCTGGGTAACAAGCGTTACGCGCAGAGCTGTATATACACGCACGAAACATATATGTTTCATATATATATATATATATATATATATATATATATATATATATATGTGCATACGTATATGTGTATGTATATGTATATGTAAACGTATATTTATGTGAGTGTATATGTACAAATATACACCCACATATACATGCATACATATATAATTACAGATGTACGTTATGCACAATTACATGGATGTGTTTATATCGATATGTATATGTATATGTATATATACATACCTACATACATGCATACATACATGCATGCATACATACATATGTACAGATGTCATGCATACACGGAGTTCCTTGTGCGGCAAGGAAACGTGTGAGGGTTGTGACGACATGGTAGGGGGAACCCCATGCAACACCACCCCCTGGGGCCCTGGGTGGAGTTCCTCATGCAGCCACGAAGGCGTGCAAGGGTTGTGCCGACATGGTCGGGGGCCGGGGGAACCCCATGCACACACACACACACACACACGGGGCCTTGGGTGGAGCTCCTCATGAAGCCACGATGCTTGCGAAGGGTGTGCCGAAAGTCGTTGGAAGACCGCATGCAACACCACCCCTTGGGGCCTTCGGCGGAGCTTCTTCATGGGGCCACGAAACGTGTGAAGGTGTGCCGAAGTGGGCATGCGGAAGGCAGGAGGCAGGAGGAGGGGGAAGAAGAAGGTGAAGAGTGACGCAGGGCGCTGCGTCACTCAGGAAGAGGAAGGGAAGTGAAGGTGAAGAGGGGAAGGAACCACACCACACACACACACACACGCCCACGCCCACGCCCACGCCCACGCCCACACACACACACACACACACACACACACACACACACACACACACACACACACGCACATACACACACACACACACACACACACACACACACGCGCGCGCACGCACGCACGCACGCACGCACGCACACACGCGCACACACACACACACACATGCATGGGCCGACAGACGGGGGAGGGGAATCCGAGGGGAAGGAAGGGAACACCACATATACAAGGGGAAGGCAAGGCACGAAGAGGGAGAGAGCCCGCCGAGGAAGGCGGCGAGAGGGAAAAAGGAGGCACAACACACAGGCACGGGGAGAAAGTAGGGACCAAGCGCGGCCCAAAGCCCGCCAAGCAGGCAATGCACGCGGAAGCCACGCCTCGGGGGCGAGGGGGAAGGCGGCGGGGAGAGAAGGGGAAGGCGACGACAGGAGAAGAGAAGGACGACGAGGACGGGAGAGGAAACCGGGCCGGCTGCATGGCGCGCGGACTGCCCCCCCTCGAACGGGGAAGGAGAACGCGCGGATGACCCCGCGCACGGGAAACGGACTAGCCCCGGCCGAAGGGTCTGAGCGAAGCGCGCACAACAACCACCGCCGGGGACGCACGGACGCACTGATCAATCATGCAACGGGGGAACATGCCTTGGCCCAACACGACCACGCGAGGATCCACCGTTTCCGCCTCTTCCCTAGGCGAACAGCGACCCCGCACCATCTGGGGCAAATCCCACCAGCCATCTGGGCGTAGGTGGTCTAGGGATTTCCTCTCCCAGCCCATGAATTCCTTTTTTTCGGGGAAGGGTTTATCACTGTTCCCTACTAAATTCCACCCCCTTTCCCCAGGCGACTGGGAGCCAACCCGAAACCATGCGGGCCCCCCCACCACCACCACGTCTATTTGTAAAAAGCAATACAAAGCACACCCTGCCTCCAATTTCGGAGCATGCGCAGCGAACCCGATGCGGTTTCACCCCACCATCCCAACTCAAAAAACAATACAGAATACACTTGGCGGCGGCGGCGGCGGCGGCTGCGGCGGCTGCGGCGGGGGCGGCGGCTGCGGCGGCGGCGGCGGCGGTGGCGGCGGCGGTGGCGGCGGCGGCGGCGGGGGCGGCGGCGGCGGCGGCGGCGGGCGGCGGCAGCGGTGGCGGCAGCGGCTGCAGCGGCTGCGGCGGCGGCGATTCGGCCGCGGAGGCGGCGGCGGCGCGCGGCGGCGCGGCGGCGGGCGGCGCGGTGGCGGCGGCGGCGGGCGGCGGCGGCGCGGCGGCGGCGCGGCGGCGGCGGCGGGCGGCGGCGGCGGCGGCGGCAGCGGCAGCGGCGGACTCGCCCCCAGTAGCTGCCCATCCAAAGACGACTGCTGAATATGCTGCGGTTCGGGCCAGGCTCAGGTGCTACGTATGTGTCGGGAGGGCAGGTGGGAGTGAGCGAGACGTCTTGCGGGCGGGGAGAGCGTCTTGACCCCGACCCCATTACCCCTTCCCGTGGACCAGGACGGGGCACCCCGCGAGGTGTCAGAGGGTACGTGTTTTCCCCAAGTGGTCCCAAGACGGCCTCAAACAGCCCAAGATGGCCTCCCCAAGATGCTTCAAGTCGGCTCCCAAGATGCTCCAAGAGACCCAAAAAAGGGCTCCAAGGCGGCTCCAAGAGGCCTCCGAAACCTCCAAGGGGGCCGCCAAGAAGCGAAAATCCCTACCAAAACCGACAAAAGCTCCATGCTGTTTGCTTTCTCGCCGTTTCGCTTCCGACGGCCATCCGACGCCTCAAGATGGTTCCGAGATAGCCCAAAAAAGGGCCCCTGGAGAGACCCGAGGGAGCCCCAAACGGCCCCAAGAGCGCCCGAGAGCGTTCCAAAAGCGCCTCAAGAGCGCCCCGAGAGACGACTTTGGAGGTTCCAAGGGGAGGAGCTAGGGAACCCCTCTTCTGTGATCGATATCCCCCAAGATGGCCCCAAGAGCGCTCCTAAGGCTCCCAAGAGCAGCCCAAGATGGTCCCTAAGAGGCGCCCAGACGGCCCCAAGCGGCGTCCAGGAAGCCCCCCAAAAGTTTCCAAGAGACCCCCCAAAGACCTCAAGAGGATACCCGAAGCACCCAAGACGCTCAAAGACGGCCCTGGGATCGCCAAGGTGCCCTGTCTCGTCCTCCTCCTCCTCCTCCTCCTCCTCCTCCTCCTCCTCGTCCTCCTCCTCCTCCTTTTCCTTCTCCTCCTCCTCCTCCTCCTCCTCCTCCTCCGCCCCCTCCTCCTCGTCCTCCTCATCCTTGTTCACTGTCGTTTCTTCCCTCCTCCTTTCCACCCTCCTCGTCCTTCTCCTCCTCCTCCTCCTCCTTCTCCTCCACCATCTCCCCCCTCTTTGGGTATCGGACGGCTTCCCCCGCCCACCGTTCTTTTGCATGCTTCCCCCACTTCCCTGATCACCTCAACTCCCCTGGTTTCTGGATGGGCTGGTGGTCATACTTTTGGTACGCGGGCGCGCGAGGCGGGTCGAACGCCGCGCAAGCAGGGACAGGCCGTGCCACCAGCTAAGGGAAAACCAAAGAGGCGAGCAACGCCATGCACAGAGCGGGGCGGAGCTCATCGCGGCCGAAATGGCGCGGACGGCATCACGAAGCGGCACCGGGAGCACGTTCATGCAGGTGCCGAACTGGATGCAGATGCAGTGGGAGAGCGACACTGGTGGTCATACGCGAAGCGTCAACCATTTGCCCCAGTGGCGCTGCTCCGAACGCGCGGATGACCCTCCGCACGGGGGACGGATCACCCACCGCTAGGGGGGATTGGAAGGGAGCACGCGAAAGACCCCCCGCATGGGGAGCGGATGCTCCCCCGCCGACAAGACTCACAAAAAGGCCCCGCGGCCTCGCATCGCGCAGTCCGTCTGGACGGACACACCGTGGGAGAGAGAACGAGCGGATTAGGGGGCCACACGCGAACCCTACCCCTACCCCCACGATTTCTGAGGGGGAGGGTGGGGTTCATTTCGTTGGGGAGCTCCCGAGCGAAGTGAACCCCACCCCCCCCCTCAGAAATCGTGGGGGGGAGGGGTAGGGTTCGCATGTGCCCCCCTACGGATGACCCCCGAAGGGGGAGCGGGTAACCCCGCCGAGTGGACTGGGAGGCGTGAATGTGCGCTCGCAGCAGACACATGGCACGCGCCGGTGGCCCCCCCGCACGGGGGGCGGAGAGCCCCCCATCCAAGGGGGCTGGGAGAAAGGAACGCGCGCTCGCAGCATCTGACATCCCGGAGAGGGGGAGCGGCAGGGAGAGAAAAGGGTGCGACGAAGACGGAAGACGAGAAAGGGAGGAGGCCCCGTGTCAGTTCATCGCCGAGCCAGGCTCGCCCGTGGAAGTGAACGCGGCATACGCCAAGCGAAGAGCCCGCGCGCGCGTCGCAGGGAGCTGCAGCGACAGAGCCTCAGCTTCAACGATGAACCACCTCCTGGCTGGGGGGCGGGGCCCAACGGCGGCAGCGCGGGAACCCCTTCCCGCCCCCCCAGGCTGCCGCGCCTCACCCCGGGCAGCTGCCGCGAAGATAGAAAGGATGGTCAGCGCACCACAGCAATCGCAAGCGAAGGGACACTCGCGAGAACAGGATGGCTGCGGAGCGGGGCCCGAAGGCACATCCGCGGGAACCCCGCCCCGCCCCTACTGCCAGAGTTTGCCCCGAAGGCGGGCGCGCAGGAGCCTTTTCCCCCCCCAGCAGACGCCGCGAAGATGAACCCTACGACCCTGTGAACGCAGCGCGCTCCAACCGCGAGGATGGCGAGCCAGTGCGAAGCCCAGGCGAACCAAAAAGTTGCCCAGGGAAGAATCCCGAAAGGAACCAGGACCGAAGCGGCACGAGAGAAAGGCCTGCAGAGGCCCGAGAAACTGTGCTCA